ATGTGTGTTTAAATTAAAGTCTTTGGAGATCAGAACTTTTAGAAGACCCCAACTTATGGGGAGCTTGAACTATGTGTTTGATATATACGGTTACCTCGCATGTTTAAACAACAAATCTTTTGATAACTTTTGGCACCATTTGATATTCCAAAAACTTTATTACAAACTTTGAACTTCGTTTTTAAAACTGAAAATGGTTTTAAATGTATGATTTTATAATACCCGTGTGATCAGAGTTATAAATTAGTATAAGAGCAATGGTTTTGATACTTACTGTTTACTCACATGTTTAAACAACAAATATTTTGATAACTTTTGGCACCATTTGATATTCCACAAACTTTATTAAAAAACTTTGAACTTTGTTTTTAAAACTGAAAATGGTTTTAAATGTATGATTTTAAAATACCTATGTGATGATAGTTGTAAGTTGGTATCAAAACAATGGTTTAAGTGAACTAAGTACTTGGATTAGTACCTAGACTTAAACTAGTATTATTTTAGGGATGTAAAATAAGTATCATATCTGAATTTTGAGTAAAATGAGAGATTTACATGTGTTGGTCTTTAAATGTTTAATTATTTTCTTAGATATATCATGTGAATGTCTCGGAAGATGAGTATGTAGCAATCGTGTCCTTTAAATAATAGAAATATTATGGGAACTAGTTTCAAGAAAAAACTACTCTAGTTATGCTTAGTGGTACATGAGATGGCAGACTTTTGCAAGAGCCTACCAATTTGATAACAAGGACAAGGAAATCGAGATAAGACATCTTAGAAAAAAAATGCATGGACCTAATTAACATTCTTCATGTATGTCCTGATAGATTTATACAACGTATGTGCATACATTTTATAGGCAAATAATAAATATTTTGGAACTAACAAACTGGATTTCTAAGGATGATGACACCTAAAAATCCATGCTAAGTTGTCGAAAAGAAGACAAACAAGGAAGGTAACCTGGAGCATGTAATGTCATAGCTATGTTGGAGGAGTTCAAACTTATGTTGGAGGGAGAAATGAAACAACGATATAAAAAAACTACTTGGCAGATTTTGAGAAATATTGGATGAACAAGAATTGATACTTATGGAAGAAATGAAGATAATATATGAAAATTTTGATAACACTACGATTAAGTTCGGAGAAAAGGATGCACACACAACAACAAACATGTTAAAAGATTTCATGTGCGAGATGAAAGTTAGACTCACTCATTAACAAGAGAATTTTTAGGTGATGATATTACAACAGGAAGAGCGTGTAACGCCCGTAGATCCGGGCTAGTCAATTTATAGATAATAGGAGTCGAAAACGACTTTTCAACAAAAGATTATTTAGAATAAATAATCTCAACCAATTTTAGAATATGTCTCAAGGGTTCCGTACATATAAAGAGCACCGAAATCTGAGTTATAACGAAGAAGTTATGACCCGTCGAAGTTTAGCGACGGAACTGGCACGGCACCGCGAAGACGTAAATAGTTAATTTATGATAGATCTTCCTTTAGCCTTAGTAATCTAAATGAAATTCGTAGAATATGCTAACCTGAGAGCGTCCATAAAAAGAACGCCCAAATCTGACTTCTTATGAGGAAGTTATGATTTTTCGAAGTTTCGGCTTAGCGGTGTACAACCCGAAGTTCGAGTATTAGATTGAACGCTTTTTAGCCGACACAACCTAAACAAGAATCGAATATCTCGTTATTAGTAGCATAACAATAAAAAGACAGACGAAAATGGACATTGGATGAAAAAGTTATGAGATTTTAACGGACCAATCATGTTCCGGCCTGTTAAAAATATAACTTTAAAAATAAAGTTAAAATTAGCCGACGGAGTCTAAACAAAAGTTGTAGAGTACGTCTCCACCTACACGTGGATATAAAGAACGTCAAAAACGGAGTTCATATGAATGTGTTACAAATTATAATAGCATATTTACGTATTAAAATAAAATATAAATCATATATATATATATATATATATATATATATATATATATATATATATATATATATATACATATCATTAGAAAGGTATCGACGATGCAGTTATTATAAGACTAGTGTTGAGTACTTTCGATATTAGTTTAGTACAAATATCGTTAAATCTATTTAAAATAGTATTATGAAGGGGTGTTTAGTCGTTTATATAACTATAAGACCATTAAGTAATTATGGAGGGTAGTTTTTGTAAATTCAATTACTATAAATAAGAGGTTTGGGTTCTCATATTTCTTGCACCATTCTCTTGATTCAAGAGTCTTTCTCTTTTTATCCCCCGAGCATTTCGGTCCCTCGTGATTCGACTTCTCTTTCTGTAGTTTTAGTATAGTAAGGTGAGCGCCGAAGCTCTGCACAAATCTTTCTTAGAAAGATTTAGCGATGAAGTTCTGCCCGTGCAGAGCCTGACTCTTAGCTAAAACTCCCTTGTAAGTAAGTTATGCTTACCCTATTTTAATATAGCTTATATTTAAAATTAATATTGTTATTATGAACTTATAATAAATATTTGAGCCATTATTATGACTTATATAAGTGTCGTTATAATATCTTTTTAACTACTCGCGGTACGAGAAATCTGGTTTAAAGGGCCGCATAGGGTTGTTGGATTTCAGAAGTGCTATACACCAAAATGGTCCTACCCTCCGGTGTTTTATGTCTGACCCCTGTCCGTACATAGTGGTTTGAAAGTATCGTTTAAACGCTTATATAATAATAATAATAAAACTAATAATTAGTCACGATAAATATTAGACTAAAATCTAGTAGTAATAATACTAGGTTTCGTCGAAGAAAATTATTTTAAAGTAAACGAAGCGCTATCCGAGTACCGAGTCACCACCTTCTCTGGTGAGTGCATAGTTACTTTCATCTTACACATAAATATGAAGTATTTTATATAAACTACGTGTTATGTGTGCATGTTATCTGAATACTTGTTGTCTATGCTGGATGAACGTTTTTTTATATACATGTTTTAAATGATTTGAACTGTATATGTATTTTAAATATACAAGTATGTTGGGTATGAGATGGGTAGATGAATGATGAGAGATAAATGATGATGTGAGTAAACATTGGCAGCAATAGACTTAGTGCCTAACAAATAACATCTGCAACTATGGACTTAGTGCCTATTAGACAACACTGGTAGGTATGGACTTACTACCTGTTAGGAATTGGTAGCTATGGACTTAGTACCTATTAGATAAACACTGGTAGCTATGGATTTAGTACCCATCAGCTATGAAATTAGTGCTTTACGAACGAGCATTGATAGTTATGGATTTAGTGTCAGTCCTATAACTCTGGAAGCAAAGGACTTCAGAATGAACGAATGCAGGGTAGATGATTCTTAGGATAGATCCTTAAGAGTAAAGAAGATAACGGGATGGGTAATTGGGTCGATTGTTTGATTGTTTAAACATAATAATTATATTATTATGGGTTGAAAACCCTATGTACTCACCAGGTTTCCCAACCTGACCCACTCAGTTTATTTATATTACAAGTGTTGAGATGAAGTCACATTACACTGTAAGATTAAAGAGATGTAGATCACTAGTGTAAACAAATGTAAGTTTTGTTTATGCTTATGTTTCTGTATTGACGATGACATCCCAAATGTTTTATAACGAATTAAAAATACTTTTCTTCGGAAATGCTTTGATAACGTATTTATCATGTTTTACTGGGGACAAATTCCGCAACATTTTTATTCAAAGAGGTACTCTGATTGTTATAAAGCATAAACAAAATCAGTCTTTTCTGGCCGTGAAAATGGTGATGTTACAGAGCGGTACCATCAAGACAATTATGAGACTTAAGAACTCGACGAGACAACACATGAAAGAGACAATGAGAGCATTGCAAAAGAACCTAGCAACTATTTAGAAGAATGATGGTAGAGAACTTCCAAATGACATCTCCTCAAGGATTGGAGATAACTTTTTCATGGAAGGGTGCATAAAAAAGAATGAAGAGTTGGACACTTTTGTATATAGTTCTTTTATAAGCCATCATGTTTATTTGTTTTTATAGACAACTATATATATAGTTTGGGTTCATCATGCTAATCAAGGTTCAAATTTTAGGTTGGTATCATCAAGTTTCAGTTTATGGTTTTGCTTGTCTTAATTTGTAGATTTCTATTTTGCTTAGGATTTTCATTTGATTTTGGTTTGGATTGTACATTGGTGGTGGTGAAGGACTTTCATGTTTTTAATCTTCAAAAGGGAAATAGCAATGTGAAAAGCCGAAACTACCCTCATGTGCATGACACATAACCAAACCTTCTGATTTAGTTTGAAACATGGACCATTTCTACATCATACGTCAATTTCTGACACAGGTGCTATGTTGAAGAAACATCCAGGACTAAACATGTAATTTACTCAATACATAATAGAATTTTATAAGATGTCGAGTATTTTGGTCTTTTAATAAAAAACAAACTATTTAAATGAATCCTTTTTAGGAATGATAGATTCCTACATAGGTGAATTCCATCCGTTTAACAAGCAAACAAACCACGGAATAGAATCTCGAATTCCAATTCCATTGAAATCGATCATAATTCATGAACTAAACATGCCAGAAGAGACATATATATCCTTTTTTTTTTTTTAAACATCCATCCAACAAACATCTAAATCAATCAATTGCATATTTACATCAAGATTTAAAGAATGTTTTGGATTCATAAATTTCATGAACATAAACAAATCCAGGGAATCAGTAAATTACAAACACAAATTAAAACATTTTTTGTCAAACAAAAGTTTACATATAAAAAAAAAAAAAGAAGCTCCAATTTTCTTTTTCAAGCTTCTTCCAGTCATACACATCAACAAATATTGTCGATTGATGACAACAGGGAAGCATCGAAACCACTTCTCCTTTTATCACTCCTAAAAAACTAATTAAAACCCTAAAAACCTTTATCTTCATGATTCCCTTCTTTACATTCACTTTCTTATCATAATACATCTATCTTTCACCACCCAATCTCCTCCTCCTCCTCCTCCTCCCTGATCTTCCCAAAATAACCCTACCTTGCTGCCTCAGGCGGCTCACCAACGACATCCCATCACCACCACCACCATCATCATCATCATCTTCATCATCATCATCATCATTATCAAGTACTCTTGTGTCTCCACCATGACCAAATGCATGAAACAAAAGAAGCATATTCATGAAATTATTATTGATTCCGACATTCCCTAAACCATCATCATCATCGGAATCCAAACCGTATGGATTCCGTTCAATGACGTAATCACCGAATACCACGGAACCAGGCATTGAAGAGGTGACGGTGCTAATCACATCCTCGCGCTCACGTTCCTGCTCGAGCCGCCGCCATTTCTGCTCCTGGTCAGGGTCCACTTCACGTGGCTTAGCCGATGGGTGCACCTCTCTCACGTGTTTCTTTAACTCCTTATACACCCCAACAAAACTACACTCATCATGCATACAACTTCTTTTCTTTAAATTAAGATACTCACGAGCAGACTCCACCACTGTCCACCCTTTCACCTGCCCGCGACACAGCGGGCAGGCGAGCTCCGTCCCTTCTTTGATTTTCTCAACCGGTGGTGGTGGCAAACCACCACCACCACCACCACCACCACCCGTTGCTGGGGGCGGAGGAGGGTGGTGGTGGGCTTTGTACTGGTCGAGACAGTTGGAGTAGCGGGAGCTGGTGCCACACATGTATGGGCGGCAACCGTTGTTGTGGGAGGAACAGAGGAGGAGGACAGCATTGTGGGGGTATTCCATGCACACTGAGCAGGTTATGTCTTCCCAGTCTTTTGGTTTTCCGGTGAGGTCGCCGGAGACGTGGCGGCAGGTGAGGAGTGGGTATGGGGTGGTTCTGTGGTGGCTTGAAGCGGTTCTACGTCTTCCTCTGGCACTTTTTGCCATTTTTTGAAGAAGTTAACCTGATGTGAAAAGTGAAAAAGATTGATGATTTTGAGATTTGGGATGAAATAAGTTTTCAAGAAAGTAGAAAGTCAAAAATGGTAAATCACAATGTCTGAAAAGAACAGTTAAAAACACGCAAAATTGTATCTTTTGAAAGATAGTAAGTTGTAGGAAGGATCTGAATGCATATACATGTATAAGTATTTTGCATAAATATGGTATTAAGTTCTCTGGAGTAAACTACAAATGAGGTGGAAACTATGTAATTAAGCATTAATTTACTTTCCATGTTCCAAGAATTGATCCAATAATATTAATCACAATTCACACAAACAAATTACAGCATAACATTTCGATCAATATATCAAAACAAGCTACATTTTGCTAGCCTAAGAGAAACACTTGTGATAATTGAATTATTGAGAAGTAATTGCTGAAATTCATTATGTGGATCGTCATCTAGAAAAGCAATTACAAACAAATTAGAGCAACGGAAGCAAGCTCAAGTAACATAAGTTAAATTATCAAACATGAAATCTGCAAAATTGACCAAACCACTTAAACTTCAAAACAAATCTGGTACCAGTAGAGATCAAAGATAAGGTGCCACATCGAAATCATCAGGGATTCAGGGGAACAAGAGATGCAAATGAATAAATAAATAAGATTCTTTCGAATCCGAAGCATAAGGACACAAAACTAATTTGTTTTAATATAGAAAATCGAAAAGCAAGTGAAATCTAACCAACTGCAATCTACGATTCAAAAACGTAAATTTTACAATTTTGTCATAATCCGTTGAAAGAAATCAAATCAAATGATTATTCGAAACACAGTCACCAACTAAAAGATGAAATAGACTGGTTAAAAACAAATCATACCTGACAATCCTTCGGAGGAGTTTACAGGGTTAGATTTTTGTCAAAGACAAAGATCAGATTAGGGTTTTGTTGAATTGAAGGGGGGAGATCGAGGGATTGAATTTCGCTCTTTTGCGTAGGGGAAGTATATATCGGATTTATCGAAAATTTGCCCAATCGATATTCGCTCTGAAACGTAGGGAGAAAAAAAGCGAGAGAGAAATGGGAGTAGTGGGGTACTGCGGATCCACGCAATTTTAGGGAGCGTGGAGTCACGGACGACGGACTGAGCAGAGTTTTCAATTTTGGTCCTTGTGTTTTGGTACATCTTTTACTAAATTACACGAATGTTCCTTTAAGTTTGTATTTTTTCTTTGAAGTAATTCTTACGAAACTTTTTTTTTCCTCAAATGGTACATACGGATGAAACCTTGAATGCAGATGGACCTTGGGTTGGATGTTCGCTAAAGCAACATTAACATGCCCCCATGTGCCTTGCATATGAGGGTATTTTCGTCATTTCACCTAAAAAACAGTTTACAAACATTTTAATTGCACACCTGATCAATCCATCCTCGTTGTAATTAGGGCACCTAATCAATCTCCCTTCTTCTTCCTCAAAAACCTTCTGCTCCTACTGCAATTTGGGCATGCCAGAAATTTTGCATCCCCACAATTATTGCAAAAAAAATTAGGATTAATAACAAGAAAATCCTTCAAAAACTTAAACAAAGTTCCATCCTCGTGAAGCCGTTTGATCTCATATGCACCATCGATATCTTTTCCCTTATTGGATAGTTGTGGTAGTGTAACACCCGGTTTTCCAGATTGGGTCAATTTAGGGCTTTAAGGAGTCAAAGGCATGATTTCTTTGGAAAAACCAAGCCTCACGACGTGACCATTGAAGGGTTGGGAAGTGAAAATGGATTTGATGAGGATTCTAATTTAACTGAGCTCACGATGTGAGGTATGATGCAACCCAAGCCCATGATCTTTTAGGGTTTCCATCGTATTTAAATCCCATAAACTTCATTTTAGGGTTCCAAAACAACCTCCTTCATCCCCAATCTCAGTAAAACCCTAACCCTAGCCCCTCATCATGTTTCTGGAGCTTTTGGTGGAGTTTTGGAGGTTTGAAGAATGAGAAATCACCATGGAATCATGGTTGCATCTTGAAAGCTTCATTTGCGACCTTTAGCCACACTTTTGGACCAATGTGAGCAATCAATATACAAGCTTTATGTTTCCTTATTGCTAGATATAAGGTTTAATGCATATTTATCCAAGATCTTAAGAGTTAGAGTGTTAGGATTCCATAAAGTTGGCAACTGTAACACCCCAAATTCCAGAGGTGTTATTGAAGGACTTAAAGTGTAAATTAAGGAAAGGGACTCGATGAGTAGGCATGCTTACTCGCCGAGTCGGAGCGGGATTTCGGTTAAGTGGCCAACTCGCCGAGTCGGCGGCTTGGACTCGATGAGTTGGTGCTGAAGAGAGAAACCCATAATCCTGGGGGTTGTGCCCTATATAAAGCACATTATAACCCACCCTCAACTTCTTTGCTACCCTTTTGAGATCCAGAAACCCTAATTTTCGTGTGAGACTCCATTGTTGAGGAGATTGGAGCTTGGAAGAGGAATTTGGTGGAAGGAGCTTGAGAAATTAGAGGCTAGCATCAAGGGGCTTGTGTAAATTTGGGATCTACATCAGTTTGGGCACATCTCATAGGTAAGGAGCCATTATCTTAAGCTATTTCCTTTTTGGTTCATCCTTGGTGGTTGATTTGGAGTTCCTTAGCTTGTTTGAGATTTATTTCGGGTTTGGAGTTTAGATATGAGGTTGCTACTCCAGATCTAGACTTGTGATGGCCTAGAATGTCATAAAGCTCCTGTCTATGAGTTGTTGGTGAAGCCCCCTAGTCCTTAACCCTAGCCCTAGTGTGTTTTGGGCCTATATCTCCTTGGTTTCACATAAAGTTTACATCTTTATGTGAGGGTTAGACTGTAGAAGAGTAGATCTATGGATTGGAGCCCCTGCATGGCTCGAAAAGTCATTGTATGGATTGAGAATTGGAGAGAATCGGCGAGTCACATGGGTGTACTCGACGAGTTGTATAAGCATGTGCATGGACTCGGCGAGTTGGAAGAACAACTCGACGAGTGTAGCACTTGGTTCCTGGTATGTAAATCTTATTTGAGTATTTTCCATTTTTAGCCTTGGACTCGGCTAGTCATAGGTCCGACTCGCCGAGTAGAGCAGGGACCCGGGACACGTTTTAAGTTGGCGACTCGGCGAGTCCGTATCCTGGACTCGACGAGTCACCGCTGTTGGATGAAACCCTAAGTTTCAGGGGTTTGCACCCTATTTAAACTCTCATTCTGCCCCAAACTCGCCCCCATTCACCCTCAGAGCTCTATACCTTGTTTAAGAGTTGTTTCTTTGTGAGTTTGAAGCATTTGGTGTGCTCTCTTGAAATTTTGGAGTGGGAAAAAGAGTAGATCAAGAAGAAGAAGAGGAGGTCAAGCATCTTTGAGCTATCTCAGTGTTTTCCCTAAGGTATGACTCGATTTTCCCCTTGTTTTCATGCTTATAGTCCCTTATAGCTCCTTTAAAGTCTTTCTTGAACCATTTCCAAGCTTGTGTATGTTTGGGGGTTCATAATAAGCTGCGTAACCTCTAGATCTAGGCATGGTTGAGCTCCAGGAGCTCAGATCTACTGCATTTATGGACCCATGTTGCATGAAGACCTTAGATCTACTCTTTTTGTGCATTTTGAACCCTAAAACCCTCATGGATGGATATTTACACGTAAAGTTGGAAACATTACGTGTTATTCATGCTTTAGGAACCCAGATCTATGAATGGCATGGACTGGATTCGAGCAAAATCGCGTTTATGGCTCTTGTATGAAGCAGACTCAGCGAGTCGCTCATCTGACTCGGCGAGTCTAGTCGCGAGTCTCCGAGTTGTCCCCTTTTTCGTGTGCCGAGTTGTGTAGTGAGTCCAGGGTGGACTCGGTGAGTTGGAAGCCAAAACTCACCCATAAGGGAACTCGGCGAGTCGATGCACAGACTCAGAGAGTTCAAGGCAATCTTCTTAGAATCAAGAACAGACTCGGCGAGTTGTTCATACAACTCGGCGAGTCACAGTATAAATTGTTCATCGGATGAAGATGAACTCGGCGAGTTGTTCATACAACTCGGTGAGTAGGATGAAGGACTTGAACATCAGTTTGGAAGGAGAACTCGTCGAGTCAACGCCTAACTCGACGAGTAGAAACAGAATCCAGGTCAGTCGTTTGGACAGGGACTCGGCGAGTCGGGTCAACTGAAAGTTGACTCTAACTTTGACTTAGGGCATGATCAGGGGTAAATGGTCATTTTACCCAAAGGACAGTTAGCAATATTTGACTAAGTCTTTGGTGGGAATTACAGCCGGAGGATTTCCGGAGTAGCAGCAGCAGCAAACAGACTATTCCCACACAGATCAGCAGCTACTACGAGGTGAGTTACCTTCCAGTAGCTGTGGGTCTAAGGCCACAATGCCGGCCCACCGGTACGAGATGTGTGATTAGATGATTGTCTTTGTGATATTCATCTAGGGTTGCTACTACCTGTGTTATGTTTATGTGTTAGTGACAGTAGGGGGAGATAGTCCCCCAGAACACCGGTCGATAGGGCCGAAGGGGCGGTCATGCCCAGCCATGTTAGATAGACTATGTGATATATGTGTTATGTGGTAGTAGTAGGGGGTGAAATAGTCCCCAGTATCCGGTCGAGAGGACCGAAGGGGAGCCAACACCCAGATATACTAGGCAGTATCTGGTCGAGAGGACCGAAGGGGTAGGTCGGGCACCCAGATATGCCTGACAATTTATGTATGTTACGTGATTATGGTATGTGGTACAATGGGGGAACTCACTAAGCTTTGTGCTTACAGTTTACAGTTTTGGTTTCAGGTACCTCTTCATCGAAGGGGAAGGAGTTGGCGCGGTAG